ACTGCTGAATGTCCTGGCTGCTGACAGCTTCGCTTTGGCCAGAAATGGCTTTGCCAACAATGTTGTAGCGCTGCTTGAATCGGTGAAACCACCTGCTGTTGTCGGCGAAGTTGTTTCACTGAGTACAGCGGCAAACCATTTGGCCTTCATGATCAGCAACGGGCCATCCACCGAAATGTTCTTCATGCGCACCTCGAAAAACCAGGCCTGGAGTGCCTTTCTACATTCTCTTGGGCACAAGCACGCATATGACAGGCTCCCGACGTTTGCTGCTCCACTGTCTCTGCCTTGATATCTGCCTTATTTTTCAACAAGGTACTCGGAGTGCTCCGTGGTATCCTGAAGTCGCTCACAACACTCGAACATTTCTCGCCCACCTCAACACGCTCAATAGCCTTCAACTTCGTCACAAAGTGAAGGATCTTGCGCTTCGCGACGCTGACCATAGTTACACGAGAAGTCCACAATTCAAGGAGTCCACAGCGGCTTTGCACACCACACACGCAAAAGAGAAATGCTGCACATGCAATGGTACGTAGGCGACACGACAATGAAAGCAATAAAGCACTTGCGAGGTGATGGCCACATGCGAGCGCACCTTTCAGCTCGAACGGTGTGCGATATATTTGATGGCGGGCAAAAATACCGATCGATATAAACGCGCGAGTTGTATACTTCTACAAAGTAATTTCAAGGGGATAACTTGCGAGTTCGTTATACCCGAAAATTCGATGTATGTGGGTTAGATCTAACCGTGTTTGACTGTATTCTTCTTCTGTCTTGCCAAATGTTATACAAGAGGTTTGGAAATTCAGCTCATAGGTGGAAAAATGGAAGTAGGGAACAAAGTATTTAGGGGTATTATTTTATTTATTTTTATTTATAAATACTGCAATCCCTGATAGGGATTTTAGCAGGTGGGTTACAGTGCATAATAAGGATACGTGGTTTACCACAACTGTACAATTCAACACAGATGAAATGGCTCTTCTTCTCGGGTACAAAAAGTTGTTACAAATAATACAACAATAGAGGATTGTTATACAATGCTAATTAAAGTGGGACTCAAACAAACTTAGAGAAGGCTGTAGAACTTGTGAATTCTGAAGTTTATTCCAATCGGAAATAGTTATGGGAAAAAAGGAATACTTATAAGAGTTGGTACGTGTGCGATGGGGGGTGACTGTTAGTTGGTGTCTTTGTCTGGTCGTGTACCCAGCTGAAAATGAAATCACATCTGAAAAATCTATTTTATAATGCCCCTTGATTATTTGGTAGAAACACTTCAGTCGCGTTAAAAGATTCCTGTGTGCTAACGACTTTAAGTCGGCTCGTCGTAGAAGTTCGGTAACTGAAGTGCGCCCAAATTTGTTAAATATGTAGCGCGCAGCCTTCTTTTGTACGTTTTCCAGCCTGCTGATGTTTGTCTTTGTGTATGGATCCCAGATAACGACGCAATATTCTAATGCTAGTCGAACTACTGATTTGTACGCAAGTAAATGAACGCCAGGAGTGGAAAGTTTCAGCGCTCGTCTAAGAAAGAAAAGCTTTCTATTCGCGGCAGCAATCACAAAATCAATGTGCTTATTCCAATTAAGATTATTAGTTATCCATAAACCGAGGTACTTATATATTGAGTTACTTCTCTGAGTGATTGCGTTCACAAAGTAGTTAAAGACAAAAGGATTCTTTTTCTGGGTAATTGTCATGACTACAGTTTTATCGAAGTTTACAGCCATCTGCCATTGGTCACACCACGTGATAACTTTTTGAAGGGCATCGTTTAGAAGAAATTGATCTGACATGCTGCTCATTTCAGAGTAAATTACGCAATCATCTGCAAAAAGTTTCATTTTCACAGGAATATTGTCAACTATATCATTAATATATACCAGAAAGAGGATGGGACCAAGCACCGAACCCTGGGGAACGCCAGAGCTAACCGTTAGCCTACAGGAGCTGCTGTTTTTAAAATTAACAAACTGTTCGCGGTTTGATAGGTATGCCAAGATCCATTTAAGTAATTGGTTGTTTCTGAAAATTTTGCCTAGTTTGAGAAGTAATTTTTGGTGTGAAACTTTATCAAAGGCTTTGGAATAATCCATGAAAATGGTGTCGGTTTGATTGCCGTTATTAATAGAGATAGCTAAGTCATGCACTGTCTGTACCAGCTGGGTGCAGGTAGAGTATCCCTTCCGGAACCCATGTTGAAAGTTGGTTAGTACACTATGTGTTTCCAGAAATATTGGACTGCAACTTGAACTGAAGACCACACATATCTAATATATGCACCAAATGAGCTTCAGCTTGCTTTCTGCTAATAAAACACAGAGAATGTCTTAATCATAGCATAATAAAAATTGTGTACTTTTCGATATTTCACTGTCACACAATATATTGTTCTGAATCATGGTCTGGTACATAAAAAACATACTTATATCCTATCATTCGATTACAGAAAAGAGCCTTGTGCATTATGACATACACACGACCGCACTATAATAATAACTTGCTTTAAAATCAACTCGGTGTACTACCATTCTCTATGACATGCAAAATGAAAAGTGGCCATTTCAATAAATATTTTATGTGGAAACCGCTCGTTAACACCAAATTCTTTCATTACGCCTATTCTCAACACAAGGAATGCAATAAATATAAATTTCAACCTACCACTTACTCAGAACATGTACGGCCAACGACTGCTAAAGTTTCATGGCGCCGAAATTCGGTACGCAGTACCTTTTGAAGTAAATATGGCTTATCATTTCACGCCTGCTGTGAAAAAATTATACTTCTAAAAAATTGTGCGATTTTCCCTAATTTAATTCTGTTGTATTTTGTACTGTGCTAAATTATTTTTGAGTTATTCTAGAATGCATTCTTTGCTTTTCTTTGATGTTGAGTTCATGCATTTTTGCCTCACCATTAAGATATGGTTCCCAAGAATTAGATATGCTCATGATGTAGCTGCTATAAATATATATATTGAATATGGGCCTACACTATCCTTTGGCTACTGACTGAACAGCTCTTTATACAAAAATACTTTATGAATTGGAAATGAGTGAAATTGAAAATGAAAATTTTATTACAAAAAAATGTTTTTCTTCAGGTGCAATATTTCTGACAAATTTCTCTATATTTACCATCAAACAAAAATGATTCATTCTACAACTATAAGTTTGATTTATTCTAGTGCCACATAGCTATTCAGCATGCAGCGAAAAATTCAGCACACTATCTTTAGCCATAATGGAAGTAATTGCACTGACATTATGAAAAAATTTTCTCAAGAGGACAGAGTTCAAAATCTACAGTAATTTTAGTTTTACGTTTCTCAATTTGCCAACATTTTTTTACCCATTTTTTCAGTCTTGGCTAACAGCTTAGTGGTCACTTGTCAGACGACATTTTCTTTCACCTGGAAAGAAACTTCATGTTTTTCTGTAGATATACAATGGAAGCTACAAAGACAGTACTGTTATTACTCGCATATTTCTCGCACTTTTTCGTGGAAAACCAGTGAAAAATTGGATGTGCGAGAATACGGGGGGGGGGGGGGGGGAAATTTTTTTTCGGAAATGTACAGACCGAAAAGGAAAATGAAGTGGCCGCAAATTGGGATTCTCATACCAGTAACTAACTGCAAGCTTTCGGGATCAAATCCCGGCTGCGGCGGCTGCATTTCCGATGAAGGCGGAAATGTTGTAGGCCCGTGTGCTCAGATTTGGCCGCACGTTAAAGAACCCCAGGTGGTCGAAATTTCCGGATCCCTCCACTACGGCGTCTCTCATAATCATATGGTGGTTTTGGGACGTTAAACCCCGCATATCAATCAAACCAACTGCAAGCTTTGAGAAGTACCAATAAAAATTTACCTTAATAGTAAAAGCACAGGTTCAACACGAGGCAAGATTATTTGAGACACAAAAGCCGCAAGCAAATAGTTGAGCACTAGAATTTTGTATACAAAGCTTGTGGGCGTTGCAGGCGTAGCGTTAGCGTTTGTCACTCAACGGGAGCCCGCAAAAGGTTGGCGGACAATGTCAAGCTTGGGCTGATGGCCATCTAACACAGAATCACTGCAGTTGCCTTCTGACAAAATAGTTTACCATCCATCCCAATTTTAGGCAGACGGAAGGCCCAACACGTCTTGGTGGCTTTCAGCTGCTCGTGCTGCCATCACCATTAGTGAACACAAAACTCGTTGATTGTTTAGTGCGTGATCGATCACTTTCAACTTAAGAGCAGCCGTGCAGCTTTTGTATCGCCCCATAGCGTTATCACATAACAGACATAATGCTCAATACATGCTGCAATGTGCACTTGTCTCTTTGATTTGGCTTGATTCGGATTGAGGCTCTGTGCACTGATAGTAGGCTGTCGTGCGCTATCATCATTAGGGGTTATTGCGAGCAGACGATGTTACTGCTTGCTTTGAGGTTGCTTTTTTAGGTTGATAAAAATAATGGAAGATGAAGGGGTATACTGGAAAACATGTGCAAACACTTTACTTTCATATTTTTAAAATGAAGAGATATTGTTTTTCCAAGTCTTATTTGCCAAGACCTTTTGAAACTTTAGAATATATCATTTTCTGGGATATCTAACACTGCAGTCAATGTATAGATGACAAGATATATATGTAAATGTAGTACAAGCTCGATGTTTAGATTTACAATTTATAATTTGTTAAAGAATTTATTGAGCGCTGTCGTAAGTGTCGACCGGTAGCTTAATCAATCGCTCAAGTCACGGACCCCAAGTATGAGCGGTGTCCCCAGGCAATCCACAGCAGAGACAGATGCAGTAAATGGTGCTGGAGAGAATGCCCCACTGTAGTGTTGCTCTTGGCTATAAATTATTCAAAATAGTGGAACTTCTTCTTTGCCTTCCCTTCGATGCAATGTTGTTTTGTCTTCCAGTCGTCAAATTGCCAGTGTTGTGCCGTGGAACTTCTAAAATACTGTGTGACCTATACTTGCACCTCGTTTCAGATGGCAGCCATCTTTGGTGTCCTGTGGGCACTGAGCGTGCTGGCGTTCCTCTACTCGGGCCCCCTGGCCATTCCCACATATGCCAACCCTCTTGCACTGCTTCTACTCATGCTGGTGTTTCTGGTGAACCCGTTGCACACCATGAGGCACCAGGCGCGCTTCTGGCTACTACGAGTGCTGGGCCGAATTTTCGCTGCTCCTTTCTTCTACGTGGGCTTTGCAGACTTCTGGCTGGCAGACCAGCTCAACAGTCTCGTGCCGGTGTTCATTGACGCCCAGTACTTTGTCTGCTTTTATGCGACAGACTTCCAGTGGATGGAGAATAGTGGTAAGCACTACCCTCTTCTGAACAGACACTTGTGCCGTTTGTTTTGCGCAACCCATGTGTCCCAAAGCTTGGAGGAAATCTGCCAATTGTCACATCACCAAAGGACAGTAAACGCTTAGATGGTAGTACACTAACCTCCCAAGTAAGCTATTTCAACATGAAAGTATTTTATGCCGGGTTCCATCATGGCTCTGCTGACTTATTTCTATCATGTATATGACATTGTAAATATATACTAACAGATTGCGAAGAAAAAAAAAAACTAAAAAAATTTCGTCACGGAGCGTCGAATCAGTGACCTCTTGCTTTTCAAAGCCCTGCGCAAACCACTTGACCACACACATTCATTGGCACATATGTTAAGGGCGAGCTATTTATATACATCATGTACCCATCGCAGTCTTCGTAGCTCAGCAACTTCAGCGCGTTTTCGTAATCTGCAGCGAGACGGTGCGAGGTACATTCATCGGGTGCATGCGCTCTAAAGGTCCTCATCTTGCATGTTGCCATGCGCCACAGAGGAAGGAACTATGCCATGCGTGTAAACGTGTGTTTATCTCAGGATTCGGGCACTTGGCACTTCTTGTGCTTCTACCACAAGTTTGCTTTGAAGTTAAGTGGATAAGGAGAGCACAACGGTCACTTCATTCACTGCTGCGGCCGGGTTTGTTGAAGGAGTGCGCTGCTCAAACATGAAATAAGAATTGTGGCAGTTTGCGCTCATCCTGTGCATACTTGTGCGCTCGTTTAGTGTATATTTCTGTCTGTTTGAGCAGTGCATTGCTGGTGCACAGTCAGTATGCATTTACTGCCTAGTGTAATGAATTTGCGACATACCGAAAAACTTCAAGCAAGCAAGTCATGGAGTGCGTGCTGCATCTAATGCCGGCTGTCAAGTGCTCACGGGGAATTTAACTTTCTGCATGAAAAATTTAACGCTATCTCTTGAAGTGGATTTTATCCTAGAACCAATTGTTTTGTATCTGATTGCAGAAAGCTTAAAGCATAAAGAGCGCTCACTTCTTTGTTCTTTCTCTCCTGACTGGTGCTAGTTCTATCATCAAGAATTTTGTTTGTTTGGTGCGTATGCACTCAAGACGTGGCATTCAACATGTTGCGTAGTTTCTTACGTATGTTTCTTAAGTACGTTTCTTTATTGTGAGGTCTTCGGTTCTGTGGCATGTAGAAAATCGACTATATACATAAAAGTATGCATTAAAGGTACATTTTAGATAATTTAACTGTGGAATTATTTAATGGAGCAGACTTGATTTAGACATTTTTTTATTTCTTCAGTGATCTTGATCAAACTGCACAGGATTATGCAGTTTTTTCTGCTGATTTCAAATATTTAATTAGTTTTCCTGTCACTCATCTTGTTCCTGAAATAACTTAAGTTCACCCCTATTGTTTAAGGCCACCATAGAAAGAAAAGTGCTTAATTAAAAGTGATATTTAAGATATGGCAGCATAGACTAATGACTATATTGAAAGTAGACAAGAGTTTTTGTTTTTAGGCCTTTCTTGGTTATTTTACAGCAAATTGAACTATTCATTTTCAAAGTGATGATGATTGATTGATATGTGGGGTTTAACGTCCCAAAACCACCATATTATTATGAGACGCCATATGGAGGGCTCCGGAAATTTTGACCACCTGGGGTTCTTTAACGTGCACCCAAATCTGAGCACACGGGCCTACAATATTTCCGCCTCCATCGAAAATGCAGCCACCACAGCCGAGATTATTAATTTTCAAAAGCAGTTGGAATTGTGTTACAATTTTGATGAGTAATAAAAAAAAAAGGCTCGTGCTCTAAATTCTGCTCCCATATTTGCATTCTACACACATGCAGGTTTCCATTGCAAAAAGAATTATTGTTGTATCTGCCCTAGCTGCAGAGATATTGAGGCCTCAAAATTTAACAATCGTAAACTTACTTTTTGAGTAAAATGGAAAAAAATGAAAACACAGAGCTTCTTCAAAAAGAAACAATCATGGTGTGCATGTTTTGCAATCTTCATAAAGGTGCTCATAAATTTGTAGCAGAGCTTCTAACATAGGTGCCGGCAAATTATAAAGAAGCCTCGAAGTCGGTTCTCCGTTTTTTTTTTTGCAGGTTATGCATGTTAACAGCACCAAGAATCTGGACAGTTAGAGTGACATTACAAAAAAAAATTACCACTTTCTGGTGTGTGAAAATTTGCAAAAAGGTAGAAAAATACTTGTAGAAAGGTAGAAAAATACTTTCAGAAACCAATTATGTCAATTTTAAAAAATGACTTCTTTTGTCGCTTTTTGGCCCCAAAGACCAGTCTGCCCCCTTAAAGGTTGATACTTAAAGCTGGAAAATGAAAACTATTTTTTTTTCGGCAGTTTTATCATTCAGGCACTAAAGGGTTAAATGTATAGCTGTGATAGTTATTAGTCCTCGCTTGTACTCTGTATGCTCAGTTTGTGCGGGCTTTCTGCTTGACGTGCTGGCTGTAAGTTTTGAGCTGCTTGCCATTCTTCGCATGACATTATAGTTTGTTGCTGTAGCATTCATTTCTTTGTCCTTGTGGCAAAACAATGCACAATAAGTGCTTGAGTTCTATAATGACACGTTGCACTTTCGTGTTATAACAATTCCTAAGATGAGGGATCAGTCGCATTTCCTTCAACAGGTCTTCAAAGCCTGTGATATATCGATGACTTGCATAGTCTGGCAGCAACAAGTGTTGCTATTGATAAATGAAGGCTGTAGTATTTACTCCCAAGTCATTATACTTCATTTTCCAGATTTCAGTTTTGATGCATATCGCATAATGTAAGGAGAGTGCTGGCAGAGCCCTCAAGGTGGTTTCAAGTTTGTTTGACTGAAGTAGATTTTGACATATTTTTCTCCCTTCAACAAGACATCCAATTTTAGCCGAGTTAAGCACTGTGGGTTCAAGCTGGGCTTCAAATCCAGTGGCCAGCTGGGACTCTCGAAAATGACAGATAGGCAGAACAAAAGGCAATACGACCTTTAATGTCAAAGTTCGAGACTGCTAATGTCCTGTCCATGTCAGCTGTGTGCCATGAGTGACAGTAATGTGCCGGCCAGTAGATTTCCTCTCAGAACATGGCTTAGAACAGCAAAAACTCTTCAATTTGATTACCATGGAGACTAGGTGTTTCTTCGAATAAAAAGAAACCTTGAACTAGAGAGAGCCCATTTGAACAAAGTACCCAATCACCTGAGCTGCTTTCCTCGACAGCTGGTGCCAGCATCAGCACTTGGAAAAGAGAAGCACTGTTAAGATTTTATTGATGTTATGGACATGTTTGGGACGAGTACGTTGATGTGTGTGGTGAAGGAAAGAGAGGGTGGGTTGTGTCTTCTCCTCTATGCCAACCATGGGTATGCCATCGGCTCTTGGAAGAAGAGTAGGGGAACTGAATGTTGAAATAGCAACAGGGCTTTTTTTCCTCAGTGGGCAGCTACAACGTGAGAAGTCATTTGGATAGTGATAGAGGGGGTGCAGGGATACCCCCAATGGATCTAGCTACCAGATGTCACCACGCACACTTCTTTTTTATTTTTATTTAACTGACCCATTACATGTGTAATAATTGTCTTGCACACACCATGCCGAAATGTCACAACATTTTTAATTATATTAGATTGTTGTAATAAGCTTGAGTGCGCAGTGGCGGCAGTCATGCGTACTCTGGAACTAAAGCGGTCACCAGTAATAAGACTGGAATCTTCCATGCCACATGTAAAATGTTGATGTGCCTTACCTTTGATCAAAGTACAGTCAGCCAAATCTTTAGCTACGGTGAATGAGTGGCGGTTTTTTCTGTGTATCTTTGCCATGCGACTGAATTAAGTTTCAAGAAAGGTATGGGAAAGTGCATGCCCATAAAGCACATGTCCACGGAGCAATCTTTCGCAACTTCATTCTGTAACTTAGAAGTGTGGCAGCTTGGGCTAGTTGGTATGGCATGACGATAGTTATAGCGCGAGAACAGAACGATGACAGAGACAGTGTCCTTCGTGTCCTTGTTGTCTCTGTGTCATCATTCTGTTCTCGCGCTATAACTATCGTTCATTCTGTAATATGGCACTGACAGACAAAAAAGTGGCTGCTGTACACACTAGTATAAGTTTTGGCTAACTGTACTTGATTTTCAACAACTGTTCTCACTGCTATCAGTGTACAGTAAAAGCTCGTTTATCTGGATCTCGTTAACTCTGAAATTCAGTTAACTCGGTCACGCAACACAGTCCCGGCAAAACTGTGTGTATTCAATGGTGTCAAATGCTCGTTAATTTGGTGGGATTCAGACATGCACCGGTTAACGCGACATCGCACCGTGCAGGAGGCCACCGAAGCCCTCGCTGTCCTCACGGAGTTCTGCATCAGTTCTCGCGACAGCGAGCGTGCACACCACCACCACGTGGGGTTGAAGAAGTTCGTCCTAGCACTAATTTCGATGACGAGGCAGACTAAGTTGACACAGTTTTTTATGAAATAAAAGTTTGTGCCAAGTACATTTTCTTTTAGTTTTAATGGTTCGTTCGATAATCCGGAGTTTGGTTAACTGTGACATTTTCACCGGTCCCGTGAGATCCGGGTTAACGAGCTTTTACTGTGCAGCGTGAATATCTTATACTTTGACATTTTATTTGCCGAGTACAAGTTCAGCCAATAAAGAGCTTTGTATTTTCCAGTCTTGCTGTAGCTTTCTGGCACTTCATGGAAGTTGACTGTGAGGGGGCCAGTTCAATTTTCAGGAGAGGAGGCTGAAAATTGCTTCTTGGTTCATTGTGCTAAGATCACATGCTAGGCAGAATGGCAGAGTAAACAAGCAAGACTTGTTGGATGCTGAGATAAAGGAAAGGTGAACTGCTGCTGTTGTAAAAGAGCTTGAATTGATTAAAAAAAAAAGAACTCGAAGATTTAGCGTTAGGTTTCTCTGCTACAGCATGAAATTGAGTCCTAGAAATGGTTAGATCACAGCTAAAACT